CTAAGCTGACTCACATGAGAATTTAGCTGGAGGATAAATTTCTGTGTAATAGCTTTAGATGATCGCACACCTTCCCAAAGACACTAAACTAACACCTGTTACAGCCTGTCAATGGATTAAAAATATACTCTATTATCATCACAAAATATTGATTGTAATTGCATAGTATCATAGTAACAATTGATTATCCATATTTTAAAAGCTTTAATCACCTTTCGAGTTGATTTTTTCACTTTAGCTTTATTTGAATGCAGTGTAGGCTGAATACTCTGCTTACAAGTCCTTGATTGTTTCATCAATTCAGTTCATGCTTTCTTTTGTATTTACACTGTTTTGCTCTTCTGTTAAATTGTTGTTTCATTAGTTAACCTGGTGGTGAATTCAGCCACGAGCAAAGAGAGAAAGAAGGCGGCGCTGGTGCCATTAATCACTGGCCAGTGGACTTAACCGCATACCTGTGACAGTTTTCTGTCTGTAATTGCATGTCATTATCCAAAGAATCACAAGAAAGCTCCTTTTTGAAGACGATAATTAGATTCTTTGGATTGGTGCTGAGAGGACATCACCCAACAGAGAAAGGGCAAATGCTCGTACAGACCCTTCAGTATTTCCAAGATTTGTTGACGCCTGTCAGTTGTGTTTCAATAATGTTTTAATTTACAAAATTCACTGTAGGTAATCATGTTTTCACACGGCAACAGCATTATGAGCGTGCCAAATAAGAGTTAGACATAATAGACAAGTGGTTGTAAAGTCCCGTATAGTTTTACAGTCACTGTTTAAAGAAGATTACCAGCAAGGTACCGAAGGGTGAGTAGGCTCTGTCAGCTTCCCACCACTGTTGTCTTGTTTACAAAGAACAACTGGATAGCGTGTCCTTGCTTTCAGTCAACAAATTCCTACAAGATTAGGCAACAGGCCATTTTTTCTGCCCAGCACATCTTACATACCATGACAAACAGTCCGTGACAAATAGAGCAGAGGCTTGGGACATTTACTTTCTCTGCTTGTGCCAAACTGGGAGGTGAGCTGAATTAAAGCAGTTTCTCACATTATATACCAGTCCGTGTGTTTAACCTGCTTTTACAGTATGTGCTGGGGCGCCAGATGTGGAACTCGGGCTACAGCTATACTACTACGTTTACACTTGAAAACAATCTATGCCCACACGTGCATATCGGCTATGTATCAGTCTTAATCCCCATCCATACTAAATATTACATGACCACTCATACACTGGACATGCATTACACTGACTAATCAGCAAAGGCAACGTCGTGACAGAAAAGACAAAATCAGCAACGTTGTGAGAGTCATCATTTCCAATCGTCTCTGTTTTTGCCAGTCCAGACCAAAATGCTGCTCCAGAGTTTTCAAACTAATACATGGTCAGCAGCATTTCCGAACTTCTATATTTTAGTGGATCTAACATTCTGGGATACTGGGGACGCCAGGCATGTGCGAAGCTGAGTTGATGTGTTTTAAAACCGAAAACATGGTAGCATGAAGGGCTTTATATTAGATCAGAAGCTTTACATAGTGTGCCCTTTATGAACATTTGCATGACCAAAAAATAATTTGAATGCCAGCAGAGTTGTTTTGTGTTTGTTGTATCTGTGCATCAGGGAAAGACAAATAAACCGCTGGTGTCTGTGGTGGCACTTGGGTTGTTACATGTACACTGGATTTGCCTTCATGTCTTTCTGCTCTGTTTTTACTGTCATCTGAATTTCACTTTTTTTCTTTCAGGGAAAAAGTTCAACCTGGTTGCCAATTTCCTGAAGCGCCACTTCAACCTCCGATGTATTTTCAAGCAGCTCCATGGGGGTGCGTAACCTTCATGTTTTCAATTCCCAGATACATGGTTCGGAAATAGACATCTCAATGGCTCCTACTCAGCCAAATTTCCCACAGACGGAGCTGATCATCTGTGGTCGGCATGTTGATTTTTCTCCCCCTCACTTGTTTTTATGTCCTGTCCCTACCTGCTCGGGGTGTTGTTGAGAACAGTCGGCCATTAAGCTGTTCCCTTGAGATGCTACTGAGAGTGGGAGAGAAGGAGAGAGATTGGAGGGCTTTCTATGGAAGGCAGTGACAATCTATCTCCATGGCCCATCTAGTGTCTGTGACCCTTGGCCACCTTTTCATGGGACCAACATGGCTCTCTTCCTGTCAGTAAAGTTAATATCTGCTCCCTTAGGGCCTGGATGGTAAAGTAGTGCTTACTGCTGCAGACTGAGATAACGACTTCTCTCAGCATGATTGTAACTCATCAAATTAAACTCAGTCCCTAGGGGTCAAAGGTTGTGTTAAAATGGTCCACTTATCGAGCTGTACGTAGTGGTCACGTTATGTAAAAGTTTTAACAGCAATAAAACTGATCTTCCTTCTAATTTTCTGCTTATATATTCAAACTGTTAAAGACTATGAGGCTAAAACATACAATTATTCAATCAAATGTTTTAGTATTATTGGAATAGAGGCTTATTTGATTACTTTTTACTATTACTGATTTTGTTTTTTTTAAACTTACAACATCAATATGTTGAAATATCTACAAAAAGCATACCAGTTTTTCCCAAGACATTACCAAGTGTGTCCTGAGGTTGGAATATCCAAAATCAAATGGGTTCATCCTCTGGATGTATTTGCTGAATGCGTTTCATTGTTCAATATTTATGTATCTTTGACTTTAACGTATCTAAACCTACTCACTGACATTTTCATCTTCATTACATAATCTGCACAAATGCAAGTGTGTGGTCTATGCAAGCTGCATAGACCACAGGTTAGATATTGGCTGCTGTGGTTGTACAGTTGAGGAGATATGTTGAGCTAACTTCATCTGGAGAGCTTAGGGACAATAACATTTATTATAATAATGTAACATTTTTATTGTTATAGATGGATTCTGCCTTTAAACCAGATCAAACACTCAAAGAAGCCATTGTTAGTGTAACATTTTCTAATATTTCATGCTGTTTACACGGCTCATAAACGTCAGCAGTAAACTATAAACTGCCATTTTCCATCTTGGTCTGAGGGACGGTAAATACTGTGCTTGGAGCTGTAAAGTCAAACCTTCACCACAATTCCATGAGTTTGATTCATAATTAGAGGTGAGCCGACGTTATTAACTAGCCTTGTCTGTGCTGTGTCTCTGCTTGCCTTCAGATATGCGTGTGTTTCCTGAACGATACGTTGTGTGTGTGAGCTATCACGAGGATGCCTCAGCACACCATGGAAACCCGAGCCTGGCCGCAGTGAGTGCTGTTTATACTCCTCTATTTCCTCTTCCAGTCGCCTGGCAAAAAGTCCTGCATGGGTTTGTGTGTTATTATTGGGAGCTGGTGCCAAATTTTGCTCTCACTGTATACATGCTGATCTTCTATAAGTGGTGGTGGTGGGGGTAGTGACAGGAGTAAGAGGATGATAGGGGGTTGGCCAGAGAGAGGTGGGGTCCAAAGCTGCAGCGTCATACTCAGTTTTAGCAAATTCACCCCAGTTGTACAGTTTTTGTTTTTTGTTTTTCTTAAACTGTTGTAAACCTCAAGTTATTGGGTAAACAGAAACTGGAGCCAAAGGTAATTTTGTTCACTTTAGCTCTTGAGAAAGTCTCGATCCCTCTAGAAGTTTCTCACACTGTATCCGTTATAGAAAAATATTGCAGGGCGACACAATAACCTGATTGTTTTCTTACTTTTATGCAATGTCATTGTGGCCTTGTACTTGATGTTGACATTGTCAGAAAATAATATTCATGTTATATAAAAATAATAGTTTGTCGACCCTTGAACCCCATAGCTGTAAATTGTAACATCCTTAATGTAATATATTATATTCTCCATTATATGGCATATCATTCATGGTTAATAAAACCTACAACAGCACTCCATCATTCAGTTATATGTTCATTGTTTGGGGTTTTAATCCCAAACTCCCAGGAGTATTCTGGGAAATAGTAGTGGAGCCTCTCACCTTGGCACTCACATCAAGGACAGACACAGGACTCTCCCATCTCATCCCATGATCAGTGACCCACTGTTTTTCTATGGGGTTTTTGCTATTGTTTCCCTTTGAAATGTCTCTGCACTCTCCGCAGTTTGGCGTCCAATGAAAGCAGCGATTGTAATATTTTTAGTGGAGCAACGCAGTCGTCAGTGAAAAGTTCAGATTGTGTAACCAATTTTCCAGTTCAAGGAGGCATTGCTGTCGATTGCGTTCCTCTCCTCAGGATGTGGTTCTCTGGGCTCATACAGTACAAGCACTGGGAATTGGAGGGTGGGAGTCTTGTGGTGGAGCTCTCACTCGCCCAGCCGAGAGCGTGGTTTGTAAGGGAAAGATACCAGACAGCAAGGCTGAAGTTATTCACATGACAAAAACAATTATTTGTTTATTTCCCCTGCTCTGTTCTGATTTGTCAGCCAGGGATTTTTTTTGCCATTCTAATGTTACCAAGAAAGTAAAATGAAAAAAGTGCATGCAGTGAGTCACAGCTGATGCAAGTATTAATGTTGCTGTCTAAAAATAATGGAGTTTTTGGAGTTCTCAGTCAAATTTGGTCATATGTTAAAGAAGAGGTCTTTTATCCCTCAACTCTTGACAGCATGAGCCTGCTAGTCCCAAAAAAGCCATGTTTCCCAGTATTTATGGAGGTTTCGGTTTAGTTGTTAGGATTCAGTTTGTGTGACTTGTTAAACAAAAATTCTTGACCGCAGTGGAAATGTAGACTCATCAAGCTGACACTTCTCATAGGGTCAAGAGGTTATGTTGTGGGGGAACGAAGATGACATCATCGTTGGCCTTTCGTCTTGTGAAAGTCAGCCGCTCACTATATGTTTCTTGTATTTTGTTTGCTGTTATTAGTCATATTTTCAGCTGTGGTTCAGTTAGAAGAGGAGATGGTAAGATTTAGTCATTTCCACTAGTGGTGAAGGAACTAGGATGACAGCTTGTGATTTTCAGTACTTAAAGTCAACACTCAAACCTAAGTATTTGTGTTCAGACTGTAGTTGAAGTAAATGTTTTGTCCTCAAACATATTATAATTACCACTTATCCGAAACAACAAGATCATCAAAACAGGATTAAACTCTCAATGCTAACTCAAACCAGGCATATTGGCTGCAATGGTCACCTATCTAATACTTTTATCTGTCTGTGGCTCACATATCTTGAGAACCATTCATGTTATCAGCTTCACACTTGGGCCCAAGGAAATGCAGCGTCACAGTTTGTGTGATTTGGACAAGGGATCCATTCAATATTAATAAACTTTGAATAAATAGGTGGTCAGCCCTCTGTAGCAGCAGCAGCGGAATCTTTTACGGTTCTGTTGCTTGAGTCCAGCGGTCGGCCTTTAATAGCCACAGATCAATTACTGCAGGCCACTTTTACTGTTACAGAAAGAAAGCAGTTTTATTTCAATGATATATTAAAATATCTGAGGTGGGCCTGCTCATATAACCCATGAGAATCATCACCCAGCTCCTGAAAATGTTTGTCTAACACTTTTTCTTTGGTGTTGATGTATGTAGTTATCGATTAATGTCAACCTGATATCCATCACATCTGCGGGGCGACACTAACTGTCTGATATTTTATCTAAAGACTGTATGTTGCGACCTAGAAACCTGCAGTTAACTGTTCTCTGTAGAGGCATTTAAACTGCTACGTTTTCATGAGACAGTGGAAGCAAACAAAAGACATCTCTTGGACTGGCAATGTTTTTTTTTTCTTGACATTTGAGGATTCATGTCCTTCATAAAAAAAATTGCTCCTATTGTGAGTCAGCAGCAACAGTGAGGAGGGCAGCATGGGAAGGAAGAGCTAGTGTTTAGGATTGCGGCCGTTGTTTTGTAGTCAGGCACAGAGTGGGCAGCAGAGGGGTGAGGGGCATGCTGGGCCGCAGAAGTTTGGATCAAAGGCAGAGCAGATGTGTCTCCAGCCCCCCCCCCCCTCCTCTGAGCTCTGGACAGGCCTGTGTGTTTACTCATGACCTCAGCACGCCTCTGTGCTTCACAGCTCTCAACAGCTAGCAGCAGCGCTTTCCCAAGCGTCCGGTGTCCGCTGATATCCTCTGCACCTCGGTCCAAATACATGGATATGATCTTCTACAGGACACGATCATGTCCACTCGTTCCAACCTGTCTTCACTGCTGTTTCACATTTGCACGAACTGAGTCAAAACATTTAACAGCTTTTCTTAATCCTTACATGTGGGTGGATCCAAAAACTTTCATCATTGTTCCGGGATAAGAACTGTTCCTTATTGTAGACAAGTATGTGCCCATGCATGTTTGTTGACTTTGTTGCAGGCAAGATGTGGTGAACTTAGACAAACAGGGCACGGTTCCCCTGTGGGAGCAGGGTGGGTGGAGGGCCAGTGGTGGAATTTGTGGACTCATTTCATGAACATCTCTGCAGGAGGTATTTCTGTCCTGACAGTTCAACGGAGTTTTTATAAAGTACTGTTTGAGAGATGATTGAATAACTGGCTTTTTGAGATGACATCTCACTGCTTTTGCTAGTATTAGCAGTAATCCAAGAATAAACAAAATGTATTCAACTGTAACAGCAAGTATGATTTGATAGTTGATCGGCGCTCAGTGCTGACATGTCATCGAGTTTTCTTTTTGGTTATTTTCATGTTTTAACTTAACTTCAACTAAACGTTTCTCAGAGTCTCTGTGATGAGTTGAGAAAGGTCTCTGACCCCTTGTGCTTTTGGAAATCCTTGCAAAATCCATTGGATAAACTGAAAAATGCATTGTCACCAGACCATTCAACTTTTTTTCAAGGTTCCAGAAAAAGACTGAGTGTCTTCACTCACCAGACTTGTTATTGTTCTGTGCAGATGAATGACCATGGGTATTTATGTAACTTATATATGACAAAACTCCACTGTTTGCCAATTTAAGCTTGGGATACTAAATCCAGACAGCAATGTCTTTAAATACCCAGAGTTACAGCCATCCTGTGCAGCAGCAGAGTATTTTAGATCCCTCAGACTGTTTGTCTCTATCAGTGCACTTCTTTCAAGTGCAGCTGTATTGAAAGATAAGCAACATAATCTTCCTATCTGGTCCACCCTTATTGTAGAGATGGCAGAGGACAAACTGTTTGGTCCCTGTATTTTATGGAGTCTGTAGCTGGTTATCTTTCTGAAGTTATTTCCAGGAATCATTCAGAGTTGGGGCAAGCTTTGAGTTTTTGTCCTGATATCCTTTTAAACCGAATGAGTCATTCTTTGTGCTCCCTTTGCCCGTTTGCCAGGCTTATCTCGATAATCTGACTTCCAGATGTGCTGTTTGTTGCAGCTCCTGTAGCGGAGCTGTGTTGTTTTCGAGGTTGCAGAGCTGGGGAGGGCACTGCTCTACGGGTTGCATCACAAGTGTTTTGCAGCTTTGTGTGGGGGCGAGCAGACTGGCTGGCGGTGGAGGTGTGGGGGTTAAATCCTTTTACTAAGGGATAGGTGGTAGCGTCGGCGTGTAGATGTTCTTAAATACCACTATCTCTCCCTGTTGCGAGTTTGTATCTTTCCGCACAAGATTAGACTACTTCTGTTCCCACAATACTTTGTTTGAACCACATGACTATGATAATTATCATGTTGTTCAGGCACTGTCTCTCTTTACCTTTAATTCCTCTACTTTCTTTTTTTTTAGCTGCTATATATAGAGTGAAGGACCTCCAGAGATAATAAGTCATGCACAATCTCTCTCTCTTTCTGTCTGACTTTCTGTCGGCCAACCTTTACCTCTTTTCATACGTATAACTATCCACTCCTCTGTTCTTTCACTCTCTCTCTCCCTCCTCTGAAGTCGTGCCGACAGGAACAGAGAGAAGCTCATCTTTCCCAGAGAACCTCCCATCGGCTTCTTGTTGATTTTTCTTTCAAGTTCATTTTCAAACAGCATTTATTCATATTAAACAGATGAGAATACATATCAAGGCATTACAATGCAAATGACGGCACCCACATCTTTCACAGAATTGTTGTTGTTGGGGCCTGGTGGGTGTGTGATCACGCAGGCAAATGCAAGTTTGCATGTGTGTCACTGTCCCAGTTTCAAATCCTGTGCGAGTTGTAGCTCTGGGTATAAGAGAGTGCAAAGACTGAAGCTCGGCCCACTCTCTGAAACGACTCCATCTGTACACAAAGGGCAGCTTGTGGAGAACTTCCTGAGTGAGGATTCTTGTATTTGTGGGCATGTTGGACAGACTGTTGAGGTCAGACAATCTGACTCTGGGGGGTACCTCTTCTTTTGTTGTCCCCCCCTAAACTCTCTTTCTCTTATTCATTCTACAATGTCTTGTCCCTTGTTTCTTGTCGTCTACGCCCCTTTCTCTGCTGCCCGGCCCTTCGTATTCACTCCCCTCCCTCATATGTTCCATCCATCACACCACAGAGCAGAGTGCAGTTTGTAAGTCTCGACACCCAGTGCAAAGCCACAATGCCCTAGCTCGCCCTCACAGCTTGGGATAATTACTCCTTCCTCCTTGTGTGTCAGGTCATATGTTGTCGCTGGTATCATGTGCGAGAGGAAAGAGGACATTATTGATTTTTTTCTCTGTGTTCACAGTAACTGGTGGATGCCAGAGCTCACCACATTGGCTTTCCCCATCTTAGAGTGCACATTGATCATTTTACCAACCAGTTTATGGAATAGTAATGATCTGAAAAATGGCTGATATTGAATAAACATAGTGGCTACAACCTCAAATTTTCCAAGATTTAGCTTCTGTCTGGTTGTATTTTCCCACTGCAATTGTCTATAGAGTTTTTTAGCCGTCCTGGCTTGGCTCGTTGGGCGGTTGTGTCAGTCTGTTCACTTAGATTCAGAAATATCTGAATGAAATGTCTTAATTATTGGATGGAATGCCACAGAACTTGTTCAACACATTCACGATGTCTGGAGGAGGAATTCTTACGACTTGGGTGAGCCCCTGACTTTTCATCTTGTGCCACCAGCAGGTCAAAGTTTTCACTTAGAAGTGAAATTTCTCTAAGCACCCACAAGTACCGCTTTAGCTTTTTATCATAGCACTGCTAGCGTCACTGTAGACTCTTTATGTTTTTATTGTCGTTTCATTGTTTGTTAGACCCAAGCTTCAGCTTTTCTAGAAACTTGGTGGAAGGATGGTACATGGGCTCTGAAACTCCCCCACCAAATATTTCAAGGTAATTCATTCCTGATGAACTGACAGACTCTCAAACTTACGGTTCTGCTCAATTTAGCATCAGCGTATCTTGTTCTCTCATAAACTCTGCGTCTGTTCCAGGTCAGCCAAGGAAAAGACCTGTGATTAACCTTCATTAGTGGCCTGTTGAGGGCACACGTTGGAGACATCCAATCTCTTTCCCTTTCCTCATTCCACTTCAGAGATTCCTCTTAATATGTGGATATGTTGAAATGTCAACCCTGAGTTGAGCAGTTTAGCCAGTTTGCTTTTTACCGAAGCTCAGATATATTGTGGTAAATGGAATAATTGTTTTACAGGAGTAATGTGATCCTCTGTCAAACTGCCTTGGTCAGTGGCATTGTCTAAATGTAATTGTTACAAAGTGAGATTCACACATCTCATTTGATTATATCCAACTGCCTGTTTTGCTCTGAACCCAGCGCAGTGTAAATTACTTTCTATCAGAAAGGGCTGTCAGCCCTACCATGATACCTTCAGACCAACTGTCTCACTTTGCAGCCATTCTGTTTACCTGAAATCTGCTATTTTTAATCATTCTCTATTAAGGACTCTCATCAGTGCTCTGTTCATCCTCCTCAGTAAACACTGTTCCCCTCAGTTTGAAGTTTCGCATTTTTTCCGATGGCCCCGCTCTTGCAAGAGCTGCAGAGTGAAGTGTGAGATGGCAGAAACCAAAACCACAAATGTATTATAATATCAACTGTATAATCTTGTTATGGATATGAGAACATCAAAAATAAAAGGAAAAGGTGAAGATATATTACCTTTAAACCAGTAAACCTGGAAGTCAACGTGCTGCTGCAGTCCACAAACAATGGGATCACTTCCACTAATTTGTTTATATCTAATCACGACGCTCTGAGATGCTTGATATCCTATAATCAAATTTTCACATTCCCATGCCTCAACTGTATTTTTCTTCTGCTTAGTTCTGTCATCTTCTGAATGCACCGTCTTTAATCGCTGTTTTAACTTGTCAACATGGGTTCACCGTTAAGTACATCTGCCTCAGGCTGCAAGCATCATTCAAGCCTCAGACAGAGACTATGAAACTTACGTCACACTATGACAAGCTGCCAATTGTTTTCTGAAGTGTTTGACGTGGTGGCTTTGGCAGTTATGACATGGGGGACTAATTCTTTGTGCCAGCTTGGGTGTTACTCTGTGTCTCTGAGGCCATTATAGAAAACAGTGTTCCTGTGAGGCAACAACACAACTCATGAGAATCACATGAGGATACATGTATGTGAACTTTGTGTTCTGTGCGCTGTGATTTTGACTGCAGCAGCAGCAGCAGCAGTGATTGTTATTTAATGTCCCACAATGCCAGATGATGACAGCAGTCTGCTGTGGATCCAAACCTTTCCAGGGGATGCCAGGAATAATATTTTCTGTTTACACCAATTCTGTTTGTCCTCTCCAGACTGAGCTGAGCGAACAAAGCAGATCAGAATATTTTTCCAGAGTGGGAGAAACCCAAGAGCCTTTAAACAGCCCCACAAAAACAAAGAAGACGGTGCTTCAAAAGATGTAAGTATGATCTAATGCAGAACTTTCCAATCCCACCAGTCAGAGAGGACACTCGAGTATCTGTTCATATCCTCTTATCCTTTTGGCTTTTTCAGAGCCAAACAAGCTGGTGTCCAGCAGCAGCTCTGTGCTTCCAGTATGGGGGAGCAGCAAATGGACCAGAGAGCCGACCCAAAAGAACAAACAGGGGAACTTAAACCGGGGGAGTCAGAATCAAGCCAAAAAGAGATTGTGCCCAGCTCTCTACAGAAGTTAGTCCCAGAAGCAGACGACAAGGTGCCTGTCCCTAGTGCCTCAACTGAAGCCACGGCTCAGACCGAGTCTACTCGAAGGCAGGGCCCAACTCAGGAACAGCAGACTGAGAATAATCCTCCAGACAGCAAAAACCCAACTGGAGCCTCAGTAGTTTTCTGGCAACAAGAAATCAGTCATGAGACCAGCAAGAGCAAAAGGTGCAAGCCGAGCAACGCTGGGGAAGACCCTCACCCACAGAGGGCCAAGAGGACGTGCCTTGGAAGACCTCCAGCCACAACGCAAACTCACTCCACCGAGTGCTCTACACAAACATCCAAGCATGACCTTCTTCCTCCACCGCCCCTTCCTCCTGTCGAAGCCAAGGCAGAGTCCAAGGCTTTCCCAGTCTCCGAGTGCAAGAAAACCACACTGGAAGTAGAGCTGCTTACGCCAGGGAAACGCGCCCAGAGGCTCCCCCTCACAAGCAATAACACGGCACAGACAAACCAAAACAGGCTGGCCACAAGTCTGAGGGGCCTATCTGTCAAGCCTGCATCCTCGGGCTCCTCTATTAGTTCCAGATCCACACTCGGAGAGGAGGGGAATAAAAATGTGCCCAGAACCTCGAGATTACGACGACTGAAGAGGTCCTGAGGGGAGGGGGTGGTGGGCGAGCTACAGTAAAGATGCCTGACGCCACGGAGATAGAGATGATATTTTGTCAGGCTACATGTTTACCCCATGCAGTCTCCTCAGATGACTCGCATTTGTACATGTCACATTTCACTATGATATCTACATGTGTTTCACAGACACACACACACACACAGACACACACACACACACACACACACACAGACACACACAGATCAAATGCTGAACACATTATGGCAATTGATACACAAGCATTTGAGCTACGCTTTGTCAAATACTTGAAACAGACATTGCCTCCACCCATAAGTAGTGGTGGTCAACAGAGGCTTGCAAATGAAAGTCAAAAACCTTTAATTGGAGTTCAGATTTGGTTTTGTGTTAAAGATTGGGGATTTCAGACAGGCAGGAGCCATGCAGTACGTCATGGCTCTGAGTCTGAAACACTGGCTCCTACGTGTCTGAAAAGAGTCCAGTTTCCCTCGCTGAAGCTCTGCTGTGATTGATCGTTATTTCCACTTTTATTTCATCACCCGCTTCTCAAAAAACGTCTTTTTTCTGAAGTCAGATCTCATTCATATGCAATTTGCTCCATGCTTAGTTGCTAAGCACCTGAAATCTTTTTAAATGTGAGGGTTTTATGCAGCTTTTTTACTGAACCCAAACCCAGTGTGTGTGGTGAAATGAGAAGCATTGGAAGTGTTGGTGGTTTTAAATGGGACGATGACAGAATCACCCCTGATGCTCAATAGGGCTGCTGATGTAATTCAGTTGGACCAGAGGTCAACTGTCATTCATGATGACATGTAACATAATGTCGCCTGAATCCTGATTCATTATTTATATTTTTTATTTTACTGCGAATAAGTTTCCTCTTAAATAAACATTTTTATTTGTGGAACTGTGTAATCAGCCTGATAATATCTCTGAACATATGGCTTCATTTAAAGAAACATTCTCTGAGCATTGTTGGAATCAAACACTCCATACTGGCAAACACGTGTGTCTAACAGCGATGTTTCTAATAAACCAGTGCTTCTCCGCTCTCATTCTCAGTATTAGTGGGTGTAACCTGAGATGAGTCACTTACAGAAGCCAATTCTGTTCTTATTGAGAAACTGACCCTAATGTATTAAGTCGCTGCAGAGAGGTGCTGATAATCGCCTGCTTAGGCTCTAATCCTTTTAAACAGATTCTGCAGAGGAGTGCGTCTTAAAAATCTAAAATCTGTTCAACTCCACAACGTAGGGACCTGTAGGCATCAAAAGGCTTGAAAGGTTTTAGTTAAGCCCACCACTTAAAAAGACCAACAAGGACAACATTGTGTAGGGATCATGAGGACCGCAGGTATTTTTGTCTCCAGGATTCAACTTAATACGAGCAGCTTGCAACAACGTAATTAGCTGTAAACACATTTAGACAGAGATCTTGCTCAAGTTCGTGATGCGTCTCTGGAGACAGTTCCCACGAGAGAAACCTTTCATATGCTTAGACATGTTGGACTCGGTGCGTCACAGACAGACTCTTCACTCACCGTCCAGAAAAAAGACAACTTTAATTCTCTTTTCATACAAAATATTTAATAAATATGACTTTCAAAAATATATTGCCAGATCAACACATAATTCTCAAGTTCATAAACACAAAAGTCAAAAATAGGACAAAATGTTGCCATGATCTCAAAAGGGTTAACGAATGAGATAAAACATGTTTGTCTTTAAGAGCCTCATTTTAAAAAAGAAACAAATGTGCACAGAAACAAAGCAGACTCTTGCAGAGCAAGGCAGTGTATTTTATCTGACTCTACAGTGTTCCCATCGCCCCCCTACTGTTCAAGTACTCGAGGTCTAGCTTATGATATTACGCTGACTAAAGCAGATGGGAATTCTGGCGTGTCTCTACTGATGTGACTTACATTGCAAGCTGGTGGATTTGACAGCCTTCAAAAATACGTCGTTGGGTTAAAGTGAAGCTGCTGAAGGATTTTTGTTCCCTTAAGTATTTTAACCATTAGCGGCAAGCAATATGTCTGCCACCATGTCCGTCCCTCGCAGCAGCCGGGAGCTTTTGTCATCCTAACCTCACTTGCTTTCAATCAAGGTCCTGGCAACAAATAATGAAATGTCAAATGTGTGGAAGTACAAAACAAAAAAAAAAGTTATTTCTTTCAGGCCTGAAGTGCCTATTTTTTTGTCTTCTTTGAAATTTGGCTTTAATAGAAATTTGTTGAAAAATAAAAATGAAGTCACTGAAAGAAATGGTAGGCTTCCACAGCTATCCAAACCTTCAAACTAGACATAAATAAAAAGGAATGATATCTTAAGGCTCTTGATTATTAAGTTAATAAATCAAATATACACAATGATTAATAAAAAAAATGTACATATCTACACGTTCTAAATCGACACATAAATTCTTCATATTGGCAGCAACTGCTGACATTGAGCCCGTCCCTCCCCAACCCCACCCGAAAAATAAAAATAAATAATAAAGTTGATCTTTTTTTTTTTTCTTTTTTTCCATTTGACAGTTGCTGAAGTCTAAAGCTGAAAAAGGCACTTTCTCCAAACGGAACTAGAAAGAATTCAAACACGTACTAAAAATAATTAACTCTAGTGTTGAACACGTCGCGTAGTTTTTTTTTGTCATTGTACAACAATTACACCAGGAGCCCCTTCCATGTGTCCACTAAATTAAAACAAACAAATGAAGAAGAAGACAGGGAAACAAATGAAATGCATAGGAAGACACTTCTGCAACTAGTTCTACAGTGAAATGTTTACCAGTGCCTTGTGTTTCCAGCCAACCGAAGCAACTGTCACTGCCAGTGTAAGCCAGCTTGTCAAAACTTAAATTAACACGGGGAATATCTGGAAATACTGTGGGGTCACGACTGACACGACAGTTTACTAACATGCCGATGCTCCCCCTGTTTCACCCACCACCGGGGTGTGAAGGCGTAAGGCTTGGTTGCACGGCAACACAGCTGTCTGCTATACAATGTAGTCCATCCTGTTTATGCTGTTTGCTGTCTCCAAGTCTCTGTTATCCTGTTTATTAGTCCAATTAGGGTGTTTGGACGTGGAGTTGGGGTTGGAGATGGGCGTCTTCTCGTCTCTCTCCACCAGTGTGTATGCTGGCTGTTTGGCAAAGCGGCCCTTCTGCAGGTGCCTCTCCTTGTCGTCCTCATCCCCCTCGGGATGATTTGTCCTTATTTTGGCAATGATGGAGTTCTTGTTTTCGTAGTCCTTGATTGCCACCGGGAGGCCCACATGCTTCTCTATAGGGTTCTTGATCTGGTTCAGCTGCTCCCGCACGTTGTTGGTCGTGTTGTCCTCAGAGACAGCGGCCGACGCGCCGTTGTGGTTGCTCTGTTTCCGCCGACGGCGCATGCACCACAGCAAGATTGAGACCAGCACGAGGACCCAGATGACGATGAAGATGGAGCTGAGGAGGGGCACAAGGTAGTCTGGAGGGAGGAAGACACAAACACAGATTAAAGAGGTGCGACAAATAGAGATGATTGAAACCCCAGTTAAACTAAAACACGACAGGTTTTATTCATTACGACACCAAGCTTGCTAAATCATTAGCATGCTTTTTCCTGTGCAACCTGAGCTCTGAACAGGGGAAGGGGCCGCTTCTATTTGGCTGTGATGGCAGTCTGCTGTCACCATGTTGATAAATGGAGGACACATGCAGGAGTCTTGCAACAAGTCGAGCCAGGCACAGAACGAGCCAATCCGAAGCCACGTAGCCAATCCTCTTTTCCTGACTACGTCCTCGATAAACACTGTTTACAAGCGCCATGAGATCACAGCCCCCGGTGGCCGGGCTGGCTTTATCTTCTTATCTTTTCAAATCCATAAAAAAATCCATGCATGTGTGTGCAAGTCTGGAAAACTGCATAAAGCAACAAGCTGAGTTTTGGATGCGGTTCATACCAGTTTTGCTGGGGCTTGGCATCCGCACCTCTGCGATGGCAGAGATGATGGTGTTGTTCCCGTTGCGTTTGCTAACCAGGTCAATTATCCTGTCTGTGATCTCTTTAATGGGGCTCCGGTCCAAGCGATGGTCGTCTGTTGCCTGGAAGTGCCAGGAAGAAAAGCGAGGTTGGAAATCTGTCTGGTCTGAAATTGATTGTGTTTACTTGCTGTCAAACTGATGAAATTAAACAACCAAACCTAAAAATCTACCACATAACCCATTAGAGCACGTCTCAGTGCAGCTAAGAACGTGTGCTGCAGGCTATAAATCAACATTTTCCTTTTTCTGAGTGTGAGTTAATAGAGGCAGACCAACACATGGCAGGCTGGGATTGAGAGAGGGTACTTACGATGCAGACGTGGATCTCGTTGCTGGCTGAGAATGAGGGGTCACAAGTTATGGACACAGAATGCTCCAAGGAGAAATTCTTCACCACGTACAAGTGCCTCAGCTGCTTACACACTTCCTCTACGGTCAAGCCCTGGATGAGAAGAAGAAAATGTTAGCGCACATGAAAAAGCAGAGGTGGGTCAGGAAGAAAAAACAAAAGGCTCGGCCTGTATTTTGGCAGCAGGCTCAACATGCTATCTGGTTGGGATCCACCGTATTTAGATTAAAGACCGCAGACTCATATGCTTGTCACTATCTGCCGTCATGCTTGTTAGACAACTGGCAAGTGATGATCCTGTGTGGTGACAGAGTCGCCAGTGGTCCTGTTCAGCTCAAATCCATATGATCCTGAAATTAATCTGGTAGTGCGGTTGGAGTTAAGAGGGGATTGGCGCAGGCTGCAAACTCATGAATGCCTGATTTTCAGGAAGACCAAACCTTGGATGGAGGAAACTCTGCTCGGCTTTTTCTTCCTTCCTTTCTTTCAGGAGCACATTTAAATTCATGACCAGATTATTTAGAGTCTTGGACGGGAAATCTTTCTTAGCCCATGAGGGATGGTTGACTACATATGAAAACCTGATCTTTCACAGTTCACTGCTCCTTTTCACTGAAAGGGTGGTGGTGGAGGAGAGGCGTAAAAAATGACCACAAAACCAGTTTAATTCAGCGCCTCCCGCCCTGGTGCTCTAGGTAACTCACTCGAGGCATGTTCTCCTTGTTGAAGGTGAAGGTGATGTTGGCGCAGCTGTTGTCCTGGTAACTGGAGCTGGGGTGGCATTTGGTGGGGGGCGTGGGAGGGTTGGAGCGCCAGCACTCTCCAAAGTTGGGGCAGGGCTTCACAAAGCAGTGGCCCTCCCTGATGGGGACGCAGGTCTGACCCGAGGGACACCCGCCTTGACCTTTGACACCCAGCTTGCAGGACGCAGGGCCGCACCACATCTGGAGAGAAGAACATGACAGGATCAGTGTCGCAGACTTTTCTTTGAATGAGACAAACAAACACAGGGCTGATGGAACTGAAGTCATTCAAGTACATTGCTCTAAACAGGCAATGTCAGTCTGACCTCCTTTTTGTTTCAGAATAAAATAAACAGCTGATAAACTGATTTCCATGAAACTTTGCTCAGACATTCATGGTTCCCAGAGGATAAATCACACCGACTTGATTTTTCTCTGGCAAATTTTTGCGAAATGTTATGACAAACGTTGGCTTTGGGATTCATTCTATAAAACCCCCCTTTTTCAAATCAAACCAACCCAAAGTCTTGAAATATTTTCTAAACACAAGCAGCCACACAACAATTTAGACCACATTAAATAGACTAAAACTGGCTACATTTAGTTTTTGATCAAAGTCAGAAAAAAAAGGTTTGAAAAAGTTAAACTAAAAAGATCTTAAGCCAGATACATTAAAATCACCACCACACAAACAGTTGAAGCCAGATTCTGGCACCAAAATAAATGTGTGTGAAGCAGTGAATACCAGAGATTCAACACCCAGCCCTGAGCAGGACTGTGAAGTGGAATCAGTGACACCGGTTTTTTCCCAGTCAAGGATATTAGTCACTTTGTAAAGATTCACTACAGTTTAAAGGAAATGCTTCTATAATCTGCATGAAACACACAATCTACTGGTAGAAAAAGAAAAACACAGATACGCATGTATTCTCATGTCATGGTGGCCTAAACCGGGCCTGGATCATTTTTAGCCCATGATGCATTTCTTCCTGGGGCGAGCCATTTGAGAGGCACCATTGTTCACCTGGTGGGTTCACACAGTGTAATAATAATAGCACCACTTCATGCCTCTGCTGTAAATCAACCAATCGTCGGCCGTGGCATCTGATACTTTTTATTTTAACAGAGCGTTTTGTTTTCAAAACATAATTTATGTATAGAACTGACTCCGCTCCTCCCTGTGACGGAGCGTCGTTGTGCCCTGACACGGCCGACCTGAGATATGTGAAGATATCAGATGCAACCACCCATGCAGCATTTCTTCTGTTTATTACAGTTCTTTTCCACAGCCTATTCTCCCATGAGTAAACAATGACATCATGTGTATCACAGCTGCACGGAGTTCTCATAAATGCCGTTCTTTACTTTTGCATTACGCATGCATTTAGTTTGTTTGTTTGGACGTACCCTCGTGCACACGACTTTCCCATTGACACAGTGGCAAGTGTTGCAGTCTTCTTCCCATTTGAGTCCATCAGGGGCGACGTGTCCGTTAACAGAGCAAGGTTTTCTCGTCACTGTTAAATAACAGGGTGTTAGGAATATACAAAAAAAGAAATGGGGTGTTTATTAATGTTATATCATTTTATGAGGACTCTTACCTTCATGACATAGGGGCCCCGTCCTGTCTGGTGGACACAAGCAGCGGTATCCGTTGATCTCGTCCACACAGCTTGAGCCGAAGGCACACGGAGAGGACTGGCACTCATTAATATCTGTCAGGGGGAGAACGAGGGGTAAGAGACAGCTCCTTCATGAACTAAAGGGCAGAGCCCGACAGCACGCAAATATTGGGTTAAGCAGTCAGCACACAAATCTAATTCCTCAGCTAAATTCACTAAGGTCATGTGTCATTTGAACAGTACGTACACATACGCACCAGTTAATAAAAAACAAGCAAACATGCTTTAAATCAGCCCTGGACGGTTTCTGCCTTGTGCAGCTTTATTAAAAGCAGCATCATTAGCAGGTATGCAGGCACTAAAGGCTGGACTTAGCAGAACAAAGGGTTTGCAATGGGAAAGAATGTGGCCATCTGAAAGCCTTTAAGAGGGAAAACAATCTGTGTAATCAGTGTCAGAGAGCATGGCTGATTTGCTGTTGGCCTGCTAAGCCGGTTTCCCCCGGGGACAGCAGCAGGGCCCGCAGAGGTGACACCAAAATGGCTCGGCCTGGCCCGCAGCCCAATGCACAGATAATTGGCCGACTAGACCTTCCATTTGGAGCAACTGGGACCGGGACCCAGGCCTGCTCTGACTGACGGCTCCAACAGGGGATCAGGGAGGAGCGGGAGGCAAACTTAATACTCACTGATCCGACAGTCTGGACCAGCGAAGCCTGCGGCGCACTCGCAGCGGTACCAGTTATCCCCATCCACACAGGTTCCACTGTTGTAGCTGCAGAAAAAAAAGAGGGACAAGTGAGACTTGAGTTTGTATCTCAGGATGCCCGCAGGCCTGCACACTGAAGTCTATCCATGCTTCTTTTATATCAAACCATTTCAGGCTGGAATATTCTCACATATAATGAGCATTCTCTAAAGCAATTAAGTGTGTATTGACAAGCGTGCATGGATTTGGGAGAGTGCTCCCATGGCGTGAGGTTATGTAAGAGTTGCATCTGGGAGTTCATAGCAGAAAGGGTTAGCTGAATGCATCGCAGGAATGGAAGGGTGTATGCCTTCTTGTCAGCAGGAAGAATGGTGAGAAAGAACGCCTGCAGGTGAGAGACGATGACACAGAAGGGGAAGCCTGTTTACATCTATCTAAAGCTACTTACCATGGGTGGGGACTGCAGTCGTTGGTATCTGAATGAAAAAAACAGAGAGAGAGGTATGAGTGCACATGACAGCAAAGAGCACGTCTGAGCTTGCGTGTGCAGAGGCATGTTGGGCTGGTCGGGCCTCAACTGATTATGCTGCTTTATTAACAACACAGAGCAAAAGAACTGTCGACTCTCACTCTGAAAAAAAACTCAGTTCCACCTCCCACAACACCCCTGCTGCTGCTGCCGCCGCCTACAACACCTACACACCCAGATTCCCTCCTCGGCTATCTGGGAATTTATGTTTCAGAGTACAAGCATACACAGGGGCAGGGATCCAGGGGAAATGGAGGAGGGCTGCAGAACAAGCCGACATGTCACTGTTTGGACAGGAATGCGACGACGAGAGGGGAGAGAGGGGAGTGTGTTGGATGAGGAGGAGGGAGCAGGAGAGGGGGCTGGAGAAACATCTGTCTCCACTTTCCTGAGCCCCTTTCTCCCTCCTCCTCCTTCTCCTCTCATGGCCTGCAGCAGCCAGGGGGGAGACCAGAGACAGAGGGATTAAAAAAAAGGTACGAGATGAAGGGAGGATGAGAGAGTCAAATTTAATCAGATGCAGGACTTCACCTCTGCACCGAGAAGCAAGAGGTTTATCATCATTTAATAGCAATAAACGTCCACTGTTTTCCCTTCCACTCCCCTCCCCCTTAAAGAGCACTTACTCTGCGTGCACGTGGAACCCTCCCAGCCTTCCTTGCAGACGCAGGTGAACGACTCCCCCATCACAACACAGGTCCCTCCGTTCTCACACGGGTTTGGAAGACAACTCGAGTTTTTAGCTGAGACAGAAAAAGAGAGCAAGAAACTTTTGTCAGTGGGTTTTCGCCCCAGACATCACAAAGGATTATCAGGGCAATCATAAATCTTAAAACATGCACAGGGGGGCTGCTGTTGGTTACAGTTGGATTTCCCTTTTTCTCTAAGCAAATCTGCATTCCATGACTTTGAAGGGGATTGTCAGAGCAATCAGGGATTTTAAATGGATACCTGTCAGCACTCACAGGAGGGGGAGGAATGGGCAAGGAGGGATCATGAAAGGAGAGGGGGCGTTGACAGAGCGAAGGGATAAAAACTGTTTGTCATCCTTGCCAATCTGACAAATCTGATTAATATCCCAGACAAGACAGAGCTCTCCCACAAAGCCTCTTCTTTTTATTCTGTGTGTGTGTGTGTGTGTGTGTGTGTGTGTGTGTGAGAATATGGAACATTTAACTAAGCTGGCCTGACTGTGTGACTTACCTATGTTACACGTCGCACCCTCCCACCCAGGAGAACACTTGCACTGGAATGTGTTTCCCTCGTCATGGCAGGTGCCACCATTATTGCATGTGGCTTCATCACACTGACTTTCACCTGGAGGGAACATTTCAAATCTTAGGGTTGTTTCAGATGTACACCCACATGAGACTGAAAAAATACACAATGTATAGGAGTAATTA